AACCGTGTATATTAAACACTAATTTACCATATATTATGGCGAAGTTGTTAAAAATGTGTCAATTTGACAAAGTGACATTTTAATTGGCGATTTCTCTGCTCTGTCCTTGCGTGATTCATAAAACATTCCAGAACTATTTTACAACTCGCCAACAACTGTTAACAATTAAAGTAATTACAAATCTCATTTTCAATTCAAATTATTTTTAGAATTTTTTAATTTCTTTTCTCTTTATGGGATTTAATTATACGAAAAATACAAAATAAACATTGGCAAATGAATTAAACGTCTACCCTCCACTGACGTCATTATTTTGAAGCTTAATGTGAAATATAAAAAAAGTCATCATCATTGCATTTGCAATAGCTCAAATTTCGTCATAAAATGGGAAAAAATAAAATCACAATAATAACAACAAACAAAAACAGAAATCCACTAGACAATTAAATAACAAAGATAATATTCTGTCGTAGAGGAGGGGGGCAATGAGTATTGGCAACCACCAGTCATCATTATCTTTAGAATGACAAAGCAAATAATAAATCTATTAAAAAAACAACAACAACAACTGAATGAATGAATTAAATAAACATACGGAAAATGATGAGGGTTGAGATAGAAATGCAGTTGCAGTTGTGGTGTAATTTCCTAGCCAAATGGAAATATAATACACTGTGTGTATGTGCAGGGTACTATATAATAATTGACAGGTCTAATGAAGTACAGATAAAAACCAGCACATACCCTGCTCCTCCTCCTGTTCCACTTGACCATTTTCAACTTCCTCCTGCTCTTCTTCCTCTTGCTGTTGTCCACCATTCAATTCATTGTCACTCATATTTTCGTTTTGCCTTAGACGTATATCAATATAATCAGATTTATAAACCGAACGACGATTATCTTGAAGATTTCTAGCTTCGGAAGCAGGTAAAAATACAAAATAATTCATGTATTTACACGAGAAAAATTGAAAAAAAACTAATGTCCTGCAATTCTTACTTCTTGAAGGTTCAAAAGAAAACTGGTGCCAAGGCGAGCGAAATGATTTCTTGAAATCTAAATCCTTGTGGCAAAGGAGCACACACACTCAATAATTTACACGCAAATGTACTACAACACTTGATGTATAATATTGTTTTGACCTAGAAATGTTAACTACAATTAATGCAAGTAGCTTTCAACAGTGATGACGATGATGATTATTATACATTGTTCCTTTGGGAACAAGAATAACAACACAATTTAAAACGCATCAATGACACCTATAATTCTTTTTTTAGATAAGCAAACACAAGGGGGAAGGAAGGAGAAATGTTAAAAAAATCAATATTGCCCTCCTTCTCCTTTTTAGTTTATCACCAGATTTATTTTGTTATTGCTTGTCGGCTTAAAGCTTTCCTAAAAACCTCTTTCATTACTGAGATATAATCGAAATCAGTATGTGGACACAATACAAACGCCTTTTTGTTGTCCTACTTTTTTCCGTTCCGTTTGTCGTTGTTCACTTTTACAACCCACTTCCGCATAATTTTTTTCAAATACGAATGGGTTTCCTTTAGCAGCTGTTCTGCTTGGTGACAGTGGAGTTTTTTTTCGTAATATATCACCATGACTACTCTTCAAGGATACGCTTCAGGATAGAGTTGCAATGTTCATAGGTAATGCAATAAAGTAACCGATTCAATTTGGAAGAAAATAAAAAAACAGTACATTTTACAAACACATAGGTTGAAAAGTTCTGCAAAGACCCTCAGTGCAAATTTTCTTCGAGCACCCTTTTACATTAACATGATCACGGATAGCCACTCCTCCTATAATGACAAAAGACGATTTGGGATATGTCGAACTATTTACACCATTACAGTAAATTAGATTGAAAACTTATCCAAGGTCCTACATTTGCCGAGTATCAGAGGAAACGTTAAATGAGGATTGTATATAGAAGTGGAACGTGATTGTTTACATTTGGGTAAGAAGATTCTCCATATAGTGAGAAACCACATCACAATACTAACTTAGGTTAGGTTTGGGGATGTACAGTCACTTATGTGGCTGCAGCACTCTGAGACCGTCAGGTTCATTGTGAAGAGGGAGATAAAGAGAGATGAGAAGCTTACAAAGTTTCACAACCACTTTAGATTTCTAATTATGTTGTAGATTAGAGCAGGTTCAGTTGTTGAGAAGAAGCTACGACTCGGTGGAAAATGAGCACCCACTAGTCTGTGCCACCTGTAAGCCAGGGCTGGACAATGATATAGGAGATGCTCGTGTCTCCGTTTCCTCCTCGTCAAAGCAGATTCTGCAGTAATCAATTGCATCATGAGCCCATTTACTAGTAAAGGCCCTGATATTGCAATGACCAGTAATGACTCCTGTCATTACTCTTATTTCAGCTTTGCTCAGGTTCAGCAGTGATTGTGTCTTTTTGGTAGACAGAATCGGCAAAATGGATCTTCACACATTGCACCTAGGTTCGTTGTGCCAAAGTTCATAGGCTCTTTCGTCGAAGAACGCCTCAAAGCTAATTCGTCTGTTCTTTCATTACCCAAGATGTTACGGTTTCCTGGTACCCAACACAGCCGATAGCTGCAAGTCAGTTCTTCCAAAGCTGCTCTACACTTGAGGACGATCTCAGACAGGATTTGATGGCTTTAAGAGCCGATTGACTATCCACGAAGATAGTCTCCGGTTCAACCAGACTTTTTATCAATTCCGCTACCTTTCAAATAGCTAAGCATGGAAAACACTACAGTTGCTATCCAGCTTGTGGGTAAGCTCAAGGCGTAGCCTTTCACAGTAGACGCAAGCCCCTGTAGCTTCTTCCATCTTGGATCCGTCTGTATAGAAAGCCAAACCAAAGTCCAAAGGAGGGTTACTCCTGTTCCAGTTATCTCTACTAGGAATAACGACATCTACATCGTCAAATCTCAGGACAATACTAAATTACAGCCAATTAGTTTGACAACTTGTCCAAAATCCTAAACGATCCTAAACCGACCGATAGTGAAAAAAAAATAATAATAAAAGTATTCTTCACATTAAAAAACTTGTCCACTATGGTCTATTTAGATAATAATTGGTTGTTGTTGTAGCAGGCCTATTGACAATAGACTGAGGTGACAGACGTTGGCCGAGTAAGACTCAGCTCTTTTCGGATCGTAGTCCCCTCTGTCGTGGAAACGAGAAAAAATATTTGGTAGGGAGATTTGCTACTCAACATACCAAATTATAGCCATGTCCAAAATTCTGTCAACAATTGGGGCATACCTTTCAGTGGCATCCTTTAACTCAAGAGGAACCAATATTTATATAGTTTGGAAACTGGAAAGAAATGTTGATATTTTTAGGGAGGCTACAAGAAGATTCGGCAAAATCTTTGGAATTGGCCAAGGTTTATTAAAAATATATAACGTAACAAGTTTCCATCAATTCGAATGCGATAGCATACTTAAAAAAATTGCCTCAGTTCGTCACCCCAATTTTTTATATTTGAAAAAAAGTGTATCAAACTGTAAAATGTACATCAAACTGAACAATTTTTAAAATCACTTTTATGTAACATACATGCTTAGTAATTCGACATTCAATAACTGAACAAATAAAATATAATATTGTATCGGATTGCATTCGATATTGTGATTTGCAATGTAATTAAACTGTAAATGATTAGATTGTAGTGTTACACAAAGTTCTGACAAGTATTGCGATTGTTTTAGATATGCTATTTAATTATATCGTCTAGTAAGAACAAACTAATCAACGATATGTTGGTAAAAAATTAGATATTTGCGATGTGATTTGATCAAATAATCGGGAAATATGAAATTCTTCGAAAAAATGGAAGAAGTCCATTTGTAGTCTCTGATTGTAAACACTTTTTTCCTTGACGAGGTCCATACTTTAACAGACAGACCATGAACCTCTAATGCGTGGTTATTAGGACCCCAACCACGCATTAGAGGTTCATTTTTATTTTTGAATAAGACCATACCTTCGAAAAGACGCCAACGCCAAAAACGTGATAGAATCTCTTTTCAAATAGAAAAAATAGAAAAATCCTCCAACCGGAGGATGTCAATTCCGGCTACGCAACAGAATCTTTGGTTTAATGAAAAATTCAGATCTTTGAAAATTGGTTAAACGGGAAGTTGGAACTTGTACGTAATCATGATATCAGACTCTTCAAAATGTTTCCTATATTAATTTTAATGGAAAATACATTGGCCCCTAAATTTTAGAGGCCCATCACAAAAAGTTTGAACTTCCACAAGAGAAAGAAAACATAATTAGAAAATCGAGTGCTACTTTAAATCGCTATCAGTTTTTAAACATGATTGAAGCCAAAAAAAAAAATAGTTTGTTGTGACCAGGATCCCGACGAATATATGACGTATAAACAGACTCGCAACCAATCCATAATTTGATTTCTTTCCAAATTTGTTACTTCTCCTTCGTTTCTAGTCACTTCATATGTTTCCCCAATATAAAACACTGTGTTCTAATATACCCATATGTGATTTGCATTAAACAGCTGATTATTGAATACTGTCAAATAGAGAAGAGTGGGTTGTGGAATTTGCCATCTATTTACTCTTTCTTTCTATAAGAATAACAATAACAACAAAATAGCTACACATGCCTTTGATTATGGCCGAATTGAAATGATAACAAAAGGAAACGGCTTAAAAAGATTTAAATAAATGTCAAAGAACATTAAACGCAAGTGAGGTTAGAAAGGTAAATAAAATATAAAAACAAAAACAACAACAACAACAACTAAAATTCCCTTTCAACTGATTTGGTAAATAACAACAAAAATAAAAGAATGCCCAACAGTCATGACGTTGCAAAAAAAAAAAACAAAAACCCGAACAAACCAAAAATTAAAAGACAATTTTGTGAAATGTTTGTAAAATATTCCATTATGTTGTTATATAACCTTGATAACGGGCCAAAGGGACACACATTTGGGGTTTTCTTTTTCAAAATGAAATACTCACGGGATCCTGCTGCTTGTTGGCTCATATTTCTTTGTTGACGTAAATTTGTGACAATTGACCTTCTACTTTCGGCGGCGGCAAAACCGTTGTTGCTACTAACAATCGATAATCGTGTGGAACGTACAAGTGTCACAGCAATCCGTGAATTCCAAATGGTAAACATTGAGAGTTGTTTCTGTTGTTGTTGTCGCAAACTTTAATTGAGATTATTTTCCGTATTTTCTTTTAAATGAATAATTTAAACAAAAATGGAATTTCGCAATATCGTTTCGCCTTTACACTTAAAATTAAAATGATGAACACAAAAAGTAGAATGTGAGAGAAAGAGAGAAGTGCAAAAGACTTTGACAATTGACAGAAGGCAGGCGGCATTCAGTTCATTGGAAGTCGGCTTGGAAGTTTTGACAAGACATGAAAAGGAGAGAGCGATGGAGAACAACATTTATGAGAGCAAGGGGAGAGAGGAGCCGAAATTAAATTGACTATTGGAATTTTGCACAAAATAAGGAGAACAGAATGAGAGCATAAAAGAGATTGTGCAAACAAAAAAAAAGCAACAATTGTTAAGAAATAAAAAATTAATGATTGAATTGAAACTTGTTCTTTTTTCGCCAATTATCATTTCATTCATTCATTACTGATTCTGCCATATAGAAAGTGAGTAGCCAGCCACAGCAAACGTATTGAAGGTGGAATATAATATAATAAGAATAATGTCAATATTAAAAAATAAATAATTGGCAAAATGGTTTTTTGCCATTTTTTATAATTTATTTTTTATCTTTATGACACACTCAGCTGATACTGAACGACGATTTTGATTAGTAATCTTTATTTCGTTTTGTTATGTATTTTCTAGATTAGTCTCTTGGCGGAAATTGGCCGGCGAAATAACATAGTGATTAGATATTTTGTTGTCGTGATCAACGTCCAAACACCTCTAACTACCTACTCCACACACTCGAGTCTACATCACTTGGCAGAACACGGAAATGAATTCCATATTAATAACGGGATGCAATCGTGGCCTTGGTTTGGGTCTTGTAAAGGCTTTGGTCAATTTGCCCAAACCACCAAAACATGTCATTGCCACATGCCGTAATAAGGAGCAAGCCAAGGTAAGTCAGCCATCCATCAAACATTTATTTTATAATTATACAAAAACTGCAATCCATCTTCATGACAGAATGGTGGTATTAATGTTAAAAAAAAAACATCTATTCTTTTTTATTTAAATATTGTTGCTGGTGGTACTTACTTATGGGTGCCATTTTAAATATATCAATATCCCGCAAACCAATGCAAATGCCAAAAACAACGATGAACACAGATAATAGTTTCGATAGGAAAATTTTAATTAACTTTTTTCTGTTGTTGTTTGATTGTATGTGTAATTATTTGTCACTAATTACTTTATGTTAAGTACTTGAGAAACAAGATTTTTTTGTTCCCTTCTTCTATTTTTTTCAATGTAAGAAATATGAAATCAAGCGCGCCGCGTTAAACAATGTTCGTCTAGAAACGAGAAAACTGTGAAATGAAATAAAGCCGCTTATATTTATTGTAATAGTTTTTATCTGCTCTCTTGCTGTTTTCTTGTTTCTTCTTTTTGCAAATTGAGTGCCGCCACAAACTCTCTCCCCCCTCTTTTTCAGTTTTTTTTTTTTTTTTGGTATTGGAAGAAATGTCATTTGTCTTATTGGAAAAAATACACAGAGTTGTAGTTTTATTTAGCAATCAAACGAAATTGACAAATTTCCAATAATATAAATCAAAAATTTTCCTCTGTCCTTTTAATACTGATATTATTGTAAAATCATCATGACATGCATAAATACTTTATTATTAATTTTTTGGTTCTAAAAATTCGTTATCTCTCTTCTATTTTTAAATGTCAATCGTCATGTACACGACTACAATAGTACAGAGTTCTGTGTATGATGAGGTGAATAACGCCGTTAAAACAATGTTGTGACGTATAGCGTCAATTAAACGCATTTGCCGCCACCGTCTTTTTAAAAGACCGCCAAAAATGTCAACGGCGCTTTAAGAGGTTAGGGCCACTTATTGAGCAGAAAAATAAACATTTTTTATGATTTTTTTTACAAGAAAATTTGGTATATTTTTAGAAGAAACGAATTAATCGTTTAGCATATATTTTTGTGGGATTATTAAGAACCTTATTATCTTGTTCTTAATCAAAACGGATTTAAAACATAATCATTAAACAAACAAAAATGCATTAAATTAAGACGATCAGATATTGAAAATGAAAATAGATGACAAAAAGAAAAAAGTATATTTTTAATAAAAATAATAGTCTGTTCACGAACTGCAAGAATCTACTACATTCGTCTTCGGACGGCTCACAAAAAAGCCGATTTAAAGAGTTAATCACGCTTTCGCTTAACTCGCCACGTGTTTTATTATCGAACTAACGAAAAAATAAGAAAATCTCGTTTATATCGCGCGTATGGTTTATGGTCTTATACCTTCTATTCTATTAGAAAGTGGACTAGCTAGAGGACTAACTGCCTCCAGTTTTAAAGAGATACACAAAAAGAATCTACTAATTTTTACTACGATATCATTTTTTTTCCTTTTTGATATCGAACAAAATAGTAAAAACTATTAGATTCTTGCAGTACGGGAACATACCAAGTATGTGTAAAACGTCAAAAAAGTTAATTACGACCGTGACAAATTTTTGGTCCTAAGTGAATAATCTTGGGATCTTTATTTAAGGAACATAGCAAAGAAGTAGACCTATGTCGATTATGTTTTCCAAGCATATTTTGCAATACATAGGCCTGAAGAAATACCTTTACCTTTGAAGCCAAATTTATTTAAATGTTTTTTTATTTCTGGAACCCAAAATATCAAACTACATCCAATTCGGTTACAAAGCGTTTCCAGGAACCAAAATTTGATATTTAATATTTTTTTATGAAAATTTATTACCCAATTAAAAGAATAATTCGGTAAAAAAAATATGTCTAAACATTCCGAAAATACTTTTTCTAAATATTTCATTGAAATTTTATAAAATATATTAATTTATTTTAATTTCCAAAAATAAATATTTATCAAAGTTTTAAAAATATAGATGACACATAGAAATAGATGACAAATAGATGACATAAATTTTATAAATGACACCCAGTTAAAATAGATGATTGTACACAAAAAAAGAGGACGTATGGTCTCCTTATTTAAGGGGACCCCCCATTCTCGGGGTCAAGAATGTCCCTACAAAATTTCAAGAGAAAATCTTAAGAACTCTTGAAGATATAGCCGATTTATTGTGTCAGCATCAAGTGACGGCTAAAGGGCTTCTCAAACTTTAAACGCGTTTTTCTCTTTTGTGAACGGCGGGCACGATAACCCAAAAACTAATGACCCAATCGTTTCCAAATATTTACACGTTTCTCTGTGAGTGTATAGCTATCGTATGAACTAGGATAAAGCCAATCGTTGAAGATCTTCCTTATTTTTTAACTTGGTTTTTGGTAAAAAATCGCCGATTTTCCAAAAATATTTTTTCAAAGGTCCGCTTTTTTGTTAATTTTAGAGCGAAGTCAACAATCCTACTTCATTCGAGAGTCAAACATCGTGGCCAAAATACCGTTTTGCCATATTGTAATTTTAGGTGTAAAGTGTGTTGCCACATTGTAATTATTTTTTAATTTTTTTCAATACACATTTTTTATTTATTGATTTGTTTTTTAAATTGTTACTTTTTATTGTCATTTAAAATATAGCATTTCCAGATTAAATGAAACCTTTTACAAATTAAATGAAACCTTTTCCAAATTAAATGAAACCTTTTCCAAATTAAATGAAACCTTTTCCAAATTAAATGAAACCTTTTCCAATTGAAATGAAACCTTTTCCAATTGAAATGAAACCTTTTACAAATAGAATGAAACTTTTTCCAAATTAAATGAAACCTTTATTCTTATCCAAGGAAATATAATATTTCCAGTAATTTTAAATCAATATTTGAAAATTAAATCAAAGAATATTAACAACAATAGTTGTATGGCTATGTAATTAACACAAATATTCTTTAATTCGGTGTGATTTTATTTTATATCTTTACTAAATAAAACTAAAAAAATAGTAATACAAACTGGGGTATTTCTTGACAAGATAACTGCTTATCTTAATGAAGAGGTTCCCGACTTGCATGTCCATAACGTAGTTAGAATTATCTTGCCGAGTAAGCTGTTGATATTTCGCTATTACATCAACAATGTTATGTTCCATTGAAACGTCACACAGCTCAGCTTTTGTACATAATTTTATTTTTAAAAATGCGGTAAGAATTTAAGGTCGCATCTTTTGGATTCGATCAAATTTTTTATGTCATGTCGCTTGTGTATTTGAGCGTTATCGATTATCTAGAACGAATTTTCCAACTCTGGATTGACTTCCTCCAAAAGAGTTTATATAAATAATTTAAATCTGTCTACATTGACACTGGAATTAGAAATGATTGTGTGATTGGGGTATCCCCAATATCCATTGATCGTTGTTGGGGTATCCATTTTGTAAAGTCTTGAGCATATTTTTGTCTCAAGCCTAATGTTCTGGAGTCATTCATTCGTTCTATTTCACTGGAGGCCATCTTCAACGTAATTTTTAATTTCCGTAATCCATTTTCTATGGAGCTTGTGGAAATATTTATATCATTTTCTCTCAACAGTTTAGTTTTTATTGCTTTGAGGGTAATTCATAATAAAATAATTGAGGGTTGACTTTCTAGATATAACTCGATCAGACTTAAAACTTGTGGTGTCAAAAATTTAGTTCTATTTCCTCCACGCTTATTTTCCTTCCAGAATTTCTTTTTGTATCTTCTTATTAATGCTTGTGCTGAATTTATTTTTATGCAGGTTAAATTTGCAGTCTCGGAAATTGTTCTACACTCTTCAAACAATTTACATAATAAAAATTTCATGTCTTTTATTATTTTGTTATACTGACCCAATTTGTTTCGGGGTCTTGTAGATGTAGCTTCGGTAGGTTCTGGAGCATTTCCATTTGCAATACTTGGCGAGGTTATATATTCTTCTTCAGATTCCCAATTATCAGAGGTTCCCGAGCTAAAATCAGGTTAGCTCATAATTATTTAATTGTGTATGGCTACCTATACAAAACACTACTAAATGAATGACTCCAGAACATTAGGCTTGAGACAAAAATATGCTCAAGACTTTACAAAATGGATACCCCAACAACGATCAATGGATATTGGGGATACCCCAATCACACAATCATTTCTAATTCCAGTGTCAATGCAGACAGATTTAAATTATTTATAGAAACTCTTTTGGAGGAAATCAATCCAGAGTTGGAAAATTCGTTCTAGATATTCGATAACGCTCAAATACACAAGCGACATGACATAAAAAATTTGATCGAATCCAAAAGATGCAACCTTAAATTCTTACCGCATTTTTAAAAATAAAATTATGTACAAAAGCTGAGCTGTGTGACGTTTCAATGGAACATAACATTGTTGATGTAATCGAGCGAAGTATTCAACAGCTTACTCGACAAGATAATTCTAACTAAGTTATGGACATGCAAGTCGGGAACCTCTTCATTAAGATAAGCAGTTACCTTGTCAAGAAATACCCCAGTTGGTTTACTATTTTTTTAGTTTTATTTAGTAAAGATATAAAATAAAATCACACCGAATTAAAGAATATTTATGTTAATTACATAGCCATACAACTATAGTTGTTAATATTCTTTGATTTAATTTTCAAATATTGATTTAAAATTACTGGAAATATTATATTTCCTTGGATAAGAATAAAGGTTTCATTTAATTTGGAAAAAGTTTCATTCTATTTGTAAAAGGTTTCATTTCAATTGGAAAAGGTTTCAATTCAATTGGAAAATGTTTCATTTAATTTGGAAAAGGTTTCATTTAATATGGAAAAGGTTTCATTTAATTTGGAAAAAGTTTCATTTAATTTGTAAAAGGTTTCATTTGATCTGGAAATGCTATATATAACAATAACAGCGTTGTAATTAAAAGATAATAAATTGAAGTTTGAAAATATGTTGTATGTTGCCAACGGCATGTGAAACAGCTGTTTATTACGAATTACAAAAATATTGACAAATATTTAAATGATTGAAATGGCTAGTATTTTTGTTATTCGAATTTGTGTTTTTACCGTTTTTTCATGTTTGTGTTAAAAAGTGAATAAGTTCTCACATGTGTATATTTCCCTTTTGAGTTTTATTTTTCAAATTTAAAAAAAATCCTTGGCCAAAGAGAAAATTGTTGATATAAAAATTCTTTTTGCAGGAATTGCAAGATTTGGCATGTGCAAATTCAAATCTTCATATTATGGAAATTGGTAAGTACAAATCGAATACACTATTTTCAACTATATATTTTAATTGTTTTCAACTGCTATTCTAGATTTGCGTAACTTTAATTTATACGATAAATTTGTCCAACAAATCGATGAAATTACCTCGGCTAAAGGTTTAAATGTCCTCTTCAATAATGCTGGAATTTCACCGAAATCAACACGGATTAATATGACCAATGCCGATGATATTATAAATACACTGCACACGAATACTGTGGTACCAATTATGTTGGCCAAAGCCTGTCTGCCACTACTGAAGAAGGCTTCGAAAGCTAATGAGTCTTTAGATTTGGGTGTACAACGTGCCGCCATCATAAATATGAGTTCTATGTTGGGTTCAATGGAATTGAACGAGACCGGTGGCCTATATGCCTATCGTACATCCAAGGCGGCTCTGAATGCTGCCACAAAATCTTTAAGTATTGATTTATTTCCGCATAAAATTCTATGTGTTGCCTTACATCCTGGTTGGGTACGCACAGAAATGGGTGGTAAAAACGCTCCGCTGGAAGTTGAACCAACAACAGCGGAAATTATCGATACTGTAATGAAATTTAATGCCACACACAATGGCGGTTTCTATCAGCACGATGGTAAGAAATTACCATGGTAAAGAGTGGGTTTTCGTTGGCGGTATTATTTAGTATTTTAAGTTGAAAAAAACTTGATCTTTTTGTTGAATTATATATATATATATTAAAAATTGTAACGAATTTAGAAATAAAATTGGAATTAGCTAATGAAATATTGTTCTTAGTTTTTTTTTTAATAAAATTGGTATATTGCTATTTTTTTCTAGTTTTACTTCCAGTTACACACTTGTGACCCTTCTAGTTCAATATTATGCGTTTATAAAAACATTTTTTCGAGAGACTATCAAAGAAATTCTTGTGAGGCTACCAAAGCAAAAGGCATGGATTTTTTAAGGATTTTACTTGAGGGACTTCAAGCAATAGGTGTGGTTTTTTACAGAATTTTTCTGGAGGCACTATCAAAGCAATAGGCGTGAATTTTTAAGAAATTTTCTCTAGGGAAGTAGGCGTAGATTTTTAAGGGAATTTTCTTCAGCGGCGTAGGCGTAGATTTTTAAAGGATTTTTCTTCAGCTATATCCGTGGATTTTTTGATGAATTATCAAAGCTATAGGCGTGGATTTTTTGATGAACTATCAAAGCTATAGGCGTGGTTTTTTTTGAGTAACCATTAAAGCTCTAGGCGTGGATTTTTTAAGGATTTTTTTGAGGAACTATCAAAGCTATAGGCGTGGATTTTTTAAGGATTTTTCTGAGGAACTATCAAAGCTATAGGCGTGGATTTTTTAAGGATTTTTCTTGAGGAACTATCAAAGCTATAGGCGTGGATATTTTTATGTATTTTTCTTGAGGAACTATCAAAGCTGTAGGCGTGTATTTTTTAAGTATTTTTCTTGAGGAACTATCAAAGCTATAGGCGAGGATTTTTTAAGTATTTTTCTTGAGGAACTATCAAAGCTATAGGCGAGGATTTTTAAGGATTTTTTTCTTGAGGATCTATCAAAGCTATAGGCTTGCATTCTTTAAGGATTTTTTTAGGAACTAACAAAGCTATAGGCTTGGATTTTTTTTAAGGATTTTTCTTGAGTGGCGTTTTAAGAATATTTCTTGAGGCGATAGGGGTCGATTTTTTAAGGATTTTTTTGAGTGGATTATTAAGGATTTTTCTTGATGCGATAGCGGTCGATTTTTAAGAATTCTTATTAAGGTGATAGGATTGAATTTTTTAAAATTTTTCTTACGGGACTATCACAGCAGCAAGCGTGGATTTTTAAAGGATATTTCTTGAGCACAGCACATATGTACCCAACATTTTTATAATAGGTGCACACCTATCCTACAAATTTATTGAATTTAATTGTTTATTTATTTCATATTTTTATAGGAACTCAAGGAATTGGCTGCTCAACATCCCATCATTCATATCATTGAAATAGGTAAGTGCATATATATGTCCTTCACAAGGAAGTGTTTGCATTTAATAATAAAAAATAACAATTCTCCATTATTTTTCTCTTGCAGATTTACTCAATTTCAATGAATACGATCGTGTTGTCAAAGAAGTCGAAGAGATCACTCAAGGTCAAGGTCTAAATGTACTCTTCAATAATGCCGCCATTTCGAGCAAAGATCAAAGTTTGGCCGGCACTAAATCTGATGAAATGTTGCATCTGTTAAATGTAAACGTTGTTGTACCCCTTATGTTCACCAAAGCCTGTTTACCATTGTTGGAAAAGGCCTCGAAATTAAATGAAAACCTTGGTATGGGCTTGGAACGTGCTGCCATAATTAATATGAGTTCTCTATTAGGTTCGATTGCAAGTAATAACTGGGGTGGTTATTATTCTTATGGCACCTCAAAAAGTGCTTTGAATTCCATCACCAAGTCATTGAGTATTGATTTGAAATCCCAGAATATACTTGTTACTTCGGTACACCCTGGTTGGGTACGCACTGATATGGGCGGTGAAATGGCACCATTGGAAGTGGGTTCAACCACTGCACAAATTATCGATACCATAATGAAATTTAATGAAAGCCATCATGGTGGTTTCTATCAATACGATGGTCAAAATTTACCATGGTAAAGATGATTTAAAAAAAATCGCAACATCTATTCGTTTCTGTTTTGTAATTTTATTTTAATTTTTTGTACTAATATGGTGTTGGATTTTGTTATTTATATACTAATAAAGCAATATTTTTTGAAAAATACTAAGGTGTTGTTAAAATGTATGCTTAAAACAAGTCCTTATATTTGGATGCGTAGCAATAGGTGTGGATTTTTTAAGGATTTTTCTGGGAGGACTATTAAAACAATAAGTGTGGATTTTGTATGGATTATTCTTGGGAAACTATTATTATTTTTTTCTTGAGGGACTATCAAAGCAAGAGGCGTGGATTTTTTAAGGATTTTTCTTCAGAGACTATCAAAGGAATATACGTGAATTTTGTAAGAATTATTCTTGATGGACTATCAGAGCAAGAGGCGTGGATTTTTTTGGGGACTATCAGAGCAAGAGACGTGGATTTTTTAAAGGATTTTTCTTTACAACATCAAGAACAATCCGTAGGAAATTCAAAGCATTTTTCTATAAAAATTTTTCTTGAGTAATAGACGTGGATTTTTTAAGGATGTATGGCTTTTTCTTAAAGCAATTTGCGTGGATGTTGTAAGGATTATTCTTGAGGACTATCAAAGCAATAGGCGTGGAATTTTTAGGGACTATCAAAGCAATAGGCGTGTTTTTTTAAGGATTTTTCTTTGAGGGACTATCAAAGTAGTAGGCGTGGATTTTTTAGGAATTTTTTTTCTTGAGGGACTATCACAGTAGTAGGCTTGGATTTTTTAAGGATTTTTCTTGAGAGTCTATCAAATCGTAGGCGTGGATTTTTAGGGATTTTTCTTGATAGACTATCAAATCATAGGCGTAAATTTTTTAGGAATTTTTCTTGATAGACTATCAAAGAAGTAGGCGTGGATTTTTTAATGATTTTTATTGAGATACTATTAAAGCATTAAGTGTAGAGTTTTTAAATACTTTTCCTGAAGAACGACAAAAAAAATAGGCTTCTATTATTTAAGGATTTTTCTTGAGGGACTATGAAAGCAGTAGTCGTGGATTTTTAAGGATATTTCTTGAGGGACTATTATAGCAATATGCGTGGATTTTTTAAAGATTGTTATTGAGGGACTATCAAAGCAAGAGGCGTGGATTTTTTTACGGATTTTTGATGAGGGACTATCAAAACAATAGGCTTATATTTTTAATGATTTTTTATTGAGAGACTATCAAAGCAATCGTCGTGGATTTTTTAAGGGGGGTTTCTTCTTTTTAATGATTTTTATTAAAGAAATAAGTGTAGAGTTTTTAAATACTTTTTCTCAAAGACTTATCATAGCAATAGATGTGGATTTTTTAAAGATTTTTCTTGAGATGCTATCAAATCAGTAGACATGGAAAAAATAGGCTTTGATTTTTAGGGTTTTTCCTGAGAGACTGTAGGAGCAACATGCGTGGATTTTTTAAGGATTTTTCTTGCGTGGCTGTCAAAGCAAAGCAGTTTCCGAATTCCCGATTCCAAAATTTGTACCATAAAATATTGGGATTTCCCTCTGCCGTTTCGGTGTTCGTTGGACGTGGCATGGAGGTCACAGACAGGGTTGGTATTGTGGAAACTAAATTCGTTGAATTACTAATTGTTGAGGGGAGTTAGTGTTGTTCGCCGGTACTGCCTAGGACCGTTGTTGCCGATGTGGTAGTCATTGCTGCTTGTGTTGTTGCTATTGTCATAACAATGTGTCTCAATGTTATGGTCCACGATTTACATCCATTTGCATGATTGGCCACTAGATTCGTATAGATTTCCATATCCTCATTGTGGGCATTCTGTTCCACGGCCAAACTAAATTTATAGATTTTCTGTTTAACACCTTCACTTACATTGCCACACTGCCACAATTGCTCAATAATGCCCAAATGTCTTTCGTGGCTATCAAAGCAAAGAAGGTTCCCCGCATGTTCCAAAATTTGTACCAGAAAATAAAAGTCTTAATATATAATGTTTTATATTCACTTAATCTTTATTTATATCAGACAATTTAAGTAGAGTAGAGAAGTTGTGGGGATAATAAGGTAGAACTTTCACACAAGTATTATCAATAATTTTTAGGAATCCAATTCAAATATTTGTTTATTTCGTTTCTTTAAATGCATAAACTAATTGCAAATGAAAAATGTACATTAAAAGAATACTATAATACATAAAAAATTGATAAATGAAATATATATAGAAGAAAAAATGTTTAATTATTTTAATTATACAGACTTGGATTTTCAATATGAGTTTGAAGATCTTTAAAGAGGGGTTTCTGATGTAAAATAAATACTAATTAAAACTAACTGCATTTTTCAAAAAAAGTGGCTGCAATAGATATTCCAAAAAAGAGAAGTCGGAGAGCTGACTTCCCATGATACCCAACACTACTTCCGATGATACCCAACACTACTTTATTTTACCCTATAGTAATATATATATATATATATATATATACCGGCCTTAATCAATCCTTACACATACCATCCGCAAACAAATCAAAATTTTATGTCAATCGCGCAGATGTGGATTTTGTGCGGATTTTTACTTGAGGGACTATCAAAACAATAGGTGTGGATTTGTTAATGATTTTTCTTGAGTGACAATCAAAACAATAGGTGTGGATTCTTTAATGATTTTCTTAAGGGACTATCAAAACAATAGATGTAGAATTCGAATAGAAATTTCTTCTAAGCAATAAGCGTTGATCTTTTAGGGATTTTTCTTAAGGGACTATTAAAACAATAGGTGTGGATTTTCTAAGGGATTTTTCTTGACTATCAAAGCAATAGTCGTGGAATTTTTAGGTTGTTTTCTTGACTGTCTAAGAAAACAAAATGAATCAATCCTAACACGTGTCATTCGTCAATCCATTCAAAATTATATTACAATCGCTCAGGCTTCGGTGTACCATTTATACAAAATGTGGATCGATTTAAAATAAACTTGACGCCGTCAATCGGAATCACCATAAAAATGAAATCGGACGAAAATGTATATGGAAGTTACACATCTCATTCTAGACATATTTCTGAATTTTTTTTAACAAATCCAGAATATGAACACCCAGACTACAAGGAACCTTTATTGGTAGTCATTTTTTACTTTTTATTTGGGGTATTTTCTTATGTTAAAAAAGATAATTTTAAAATTTTCTCAGAAATTCAAACTCACACATGAAATTTCGTTGCATTTTTTTTATTTCTTTTGATTTGTATACATAATTAAATGCTGTTATATACTAATTGTTGTCGTAGGAAAGGAATATTAGGGTAAGAATAGCAACTGAAGTAACTGGAGTTAGTGGCAGGGAAATATTTAAAATTTAATTGAAGTTTCTAGTCCTTATTATCGCATAATTATTTTTCTTCGTTTCGGATTTTGGGATGTAAACCAATATTTTGATTAGGAACATTTCTGTTGCGTCAAAATACCCCCAATCTGCCACTAAACTCCATTTAAAAAATTGTCGAAAAAAAGTGTAATTGTCGTTTTTATTTTGGAAAAATATCCAGCGAATAGCATCATTTATTTTCAGTTGTATGTATATTTACTTTTGTTATTTGTTGTAGTTGTTTTTTCTTGTAATACCAAAAAAAGTTTAAAACTTTCATTTCGTTAGATTTAATTAATTTTTTGCTTTGCTTGCCTTAAAAGCGTTTAAACACATGCATACAAATACACACACACATTCATTTTGGAAGTTAATTAAAATTTATAAATTAAAAAAAATAATAATAAAAATATTTATATGTATATATGGTTTTAGCCTATCCTATAGTGGAGGGGGAGAGCTGTTGTGGTCTCCAACACTCATTACTACTTATCATATGTGTTGAATCCTTGATATTGGTGTATTTGGATTTCCCTCTGCCGTTTCAGTGTTCGTTGGACGTGGCATGGCGGTCACAGACATGGTGGGTATTGTGGAAACTAAATTCGTTGGATTACTAGATGTTGTGGGGATGTTAGTGTTGCTCGCCGGTACTATTGGATTGATTGGATCCAGCGTTCCAGTGCCTAGGACCGATGTTGCCGATGTGGTAGTCATTGCTGCTTGTGTTGGTGCTATTGTCAAAACAATGTGTCTCAATGTTATGGCCCACGATGTACATTCATTTGCATGATTGGCCACTAGATTGGTATAGATTTCCATTGCCTCATTGTGGGCATTGCGTTGCACGGCCAAACTTAATTTATAGATTTTCTGTTTAACACCTTCACTTAGATTGCCACTCTGCCACAGTTGCTCAATTATGCCCAAACGTCTTTCGATTTCTTCCCGCCTTACATTCACCGATTCCTGGACCAAAGGAACTCTATCCCTTAGATGACGAAAACTTACCACTAATGCATCGGCTGGCAAAACCACCGTTTCCTGCTGGCCAGCCGAATGCTGCTGCTGCAATGGCATTGGCGGCATGGGATGGACAACAGCCACAGGTTGCATAATTGTTGTAGCCGTTGCTGCATTCACAGCCATCGGAGGTGGTGGCAGTGGCATACCACCTCCGGCCACCTGATTTGGCAATACCACTGCCGTTGGTTTTGTAGTAGCAGTTGTTGACGTCACAGAACCTTGCAGGGGATAGGCGACACGTTTGTTCAAACTAATACGTGGTCTGCCCGGTGTTGCGGCCGCCGACATGGGATTAAAGGCCAATGGTGGTGGATCATTCCAACCGGGTGTTCGTGAACCTGAAATTAAGCGAAAAACAAACAAATATATTAATTAATTTCATTGACATTGAAATTCCACAGTCAGCATTCAATTCCGTGTTTTTGTAGCCGTTCTCATTTATCTGTTCGTTGGCATCGCCGTTTAGTATTCGCACCTGGAAATGGTTCGCTGGCTGGTGGCATAGCTGCGGGTGGTTTATCAGCCATTTTCCCAAGATGATTTATTTAGGTTTTCCCTTAGCCCTTAATAAAAAATTTTTCCAAAACACCAAAATGATTTAGTTCATAGGAATGACTCTGTGGCATGAGCAATCGGAACTGTAGTTGAGTTAAGCCACGAACTAATTCAAAAAATTATTCAATGAAATGAACGAAGGAACATTTTGCAGTTCATTCGGCTATCTAAATTCTTTAGTTCACTTCGCTTAATTGAAAATGTTCAATCTACTTTAAAATAATCCCCCAAAAACCCGTATTTAGATGAAATAGGGACAACATTCCGGGTTTGTTGTGGGTAAAAACTTGTCCCCATAATTAGTCTGTTCCCGTACTGCAAGAATCTACTAAATTTTACTATTTTCTTCGATATCATAAAGAAAAATTCCTTATCATAGTAAAAAGTTGTAGATTCTTGCAGTACGGGAACACACCATATATTTTAAATATAGATCCAAGGGTTGCGTATCCCCCATAAAAACCAAAATAACTACAAACATGGATGTCTTAGAGGCCCAAAATAACCTTAAGGGTTGATTTTTAAGTAATATTTTGCAAGGAAAACCACGCAACTTCTTAAACCTTCAGATGTTTAAGTTGCTTAAAAATCAACGCTTTAAGATATTTTGGCCCTCTAAAGTATACATAAAAAAGTATAAAGTTTTGGTTCGTTTGTTACTACATAGCCAACAAATAGTTCTTGGAGGCCTTGTAATATCTCTCAACACGTCACAATAAATTTGTGGCTCTATTTGGATTTATAGCCACCACCAAGCAAGCTACCTTTATCTAATATCACTAAATGAGCTAAATTCTGTCGTTAACACAGTATCTAACGTACATTACGTTAACCGTATTATCGACATAAACAACCTTCATAGCTCGTAAGGTAAGGCAGTGTCGTGTAAAACCAGCTTGATAATGCAGTACAAAATCAATAACGCACTGCATTATTATTATGGGCAAACATTTTATTGCAAGAATGGTTTTGTAGCACATATTCTATATAGACAATGCAAGCATAAATCGAAAACGAAAAAATTGTATAATTGTAATAGAATATTCCTTTTTTGGGGTAGATTATATTTAGCAAAGTGCAAAATGCTTTCATAGCAGGTAAGGTAATGCAGTGCTCTGTAAAACATTATTGATAATACAGTTTAAAATAAATATCGTACTGCATTATTACTGAGGGTAATATTTTATGGCAAGAATGGTTTTATAGCTCAAATGTTTAATACATAACCAACAAACATACTATAAACAAGAAAATGCTATAATTGTAATAGAATATAGAAAGGGAATATTCCCCTTTATTGAGTAGATTATATTCAGCAAAAATATAAACAACCAATACTTTTCAAACTGTATCATTACAGAAGCCCATTGTAACCACTTATGTTTTCATTTTATACGACATCTATTGGTTAATGTCTTCTCTGCTACGTTGTGTGTTATTCACCATTACCCTAAAGCTTTTTAAGGGGAACATTATTGGCGGGGGAATTTGTGTAAAATGTGGAATCTGTAAAGCACAAGTAATACTGTGGGAAACCCCCCTTTTCCTTTGTAATGGTACATTAATTATATTAAAGTTAATATATAAATCCACGATTTTTAAAAGTTTAGTTTAGATTTAAAAAGTTGGTATCTTTATATGGTTTCTTCTTGATATGGCGACTAAGACGAAACAAGGACCTACATTGGTGGGTGTTAAATCCAATAATAACACGTGGGTTTATGTCCATTCAGAGGTTATGTGTTTTATTGTTAAAGTAAGACTTAGGACTAAGAGTAAACGTTAAGGCTAAAGGAATGATGAAAATAGAGTTGTCATATAATATGAATTCAAATACAAATGTGTAGTGTAGCCAGATAAGGCATAACTATAATATTAATAAGGTAATACATAACATTTCCTCCCCTTTGTCCATGTTTATTGCGGAGAGAAAAGGACTTTTTGTCGTCTTGGCCTTGACGATCTTCGTGGTAGGTAGGACACAAGGTTCTTGGTGGGGTGTATTTGAAGTATGTTCAATGTTACCACTGGTAAAACCATAAAAATCGGACTGCTGGGTTATAAATCCGTCTTCCTGGGTTGCCTCTTTCGGTTCAATATCTCCCAGAGAATGATCACTTGTAACCATGTTCTCGTCATCCGAATTGTCGATTGAGTGTGACTGAGGAGGTGAGTGTGACTGAGGAGGTGACATAACATTTCTTGACTCGGTAGGAGCAATGGTCACCACTTTACTTCCATTTCCCCTATTTGAAACACTGGCTCGTATCTGATCAACATGCCGTCTAACCTCCTTCATGTAAAATTTCATAATGCACGTCACCCGTTCGCCCCACTATAATGCCTTTAAGCCACTTGTTCATTTTTTTGTTGTTAGATAGAAAGTATATCTCCTGCATTGGTTCAAAAACACGATATGTCGGGGTGAATTTAATATAATGCTTTTCAGCCATGCAAAAAGGGGTTCTCAGTGCCCCCCCCCAGGAATAACATATCAGGGGATTTGCCCGTAGTTGCATGAGGAGCAATTCTATAATGCCGTAGGTACTGATTTAACCGCAATTGTAAATTTCCTTTCCTCGCCCCCATTATTTTCATAGCTGCTTTTATGGTCTGAACTGACCTTTCAGCCTGCCCGTTAGTAGAAGGGTGGTATGGCGCAGTAAATTTGTGGTATTTAACTCCAATTCTTGTCAAGTAATCCTTGAACTCCTCCGATGCAAAGCATGTGCCATTGTCGGACACAATCGTGATTGGGACTCCGTAACTTGCGAACAGCTCGTCTAAGGCATCAATCGTGGCTGCCGATGAGGTCGATGAAATTATCTTAACTTCAATCCAATCAGTAACCACCAGTAACAATTTTCCCACAAAAGGACCCGCATAAAAAATGTGTATACATTCCCATGGCCCTCTTGGATATTGCCAATGATGTCCCAAAATTTTCGTTGGTTCGTTTGCCAATTGTCCACATACCTCACAAGCCTTTGCTACTTCTTCAATGTATTTGTCCAACCCTGGCCAATAAACAAAAGATCTGGCAACGCCTTTCATATTGACCATGCCTAGATGAACCGCATGAAGGTCCTTTAGCACCTTGTTTTTGAGTTTTTGTGGAATTACAACCCGATGCTCAAATACAAAACAACTGCCAGACAGCATATAATTTGCAAGCGGTATTTTATATCCGTGTGCTTTTAGGCATTTCCCAGCTTCCAAGAGCTTAACAATCTTACCCAATTCCTCATCTTTGCCGGTTTCCAACGCTATTCGCTCTGCTGTTGTCGGTAATTGCTCCATCTGTCTTATAACAAGCCCATCAAAATCATCAAGTTCCACTCGGATTTTAGCAACCATACCCGCATGGACTGCTCTTGAACAAAAATCAGCATTGATATTAGCCTTAGTATCTCTGAAGAAGATATCAAAATTAAAATTCGACAAATAATCCGCATAATTTGCCATTCGAATAATACAAAGCGTGGAAAGGCTCTTGTCCGGGTGTAAAATATGTGTCAATGGCTTATGGTCCGCTATCAATGTGAAATGCTTCGCATACAAATACAAGAAGAACTTTTGTGCTGCGCACACAATGTTGCGAAATTTGACGCTTTCTGCATATTTGATGCTATACAGGTCGATGCTGGGTCTTTCGAAAATATTATTTAAAAAATCCAATCCTAACCTGGTCCTTAACAAAATATTTTTTAAAAAATCCAATCCTAACCTGGTCCTTAACAAAATATTTTTTAAAAAAATCCACGCCTAAACTGGCCCTCTCGAAAATATCATATCAGAAATCCACGCCTAAACTGGCCCTCTCGAAAATATCATATTAGAAATCTAGGCCTACGTTGGTCCATGAAAAAATATTGTTTAAAAAATCCACGCCTCGTATGGTCCCTGAAAAAATATTGTTAAAAAAATTCAAGCCTATCCTGGCCTTGAAAAAATATTCTTACAGACCCACGCCTAAACTGGCCTTCTCGAAAATATCATATCAGAAACCCAAGCCTATCTGGCCTTCTGGAAAATACTATTTAAAAAATCGTATTCTAGTCCTTATTCTTTAAAAATTCTGGGTAAACTGCTGCTCTCGAAAATATTGTTTAAAAATTCAGGCCTATCCTGGCCCTCGAAAAAAATATTCTTTAAATATCCATGCGTAAACTGGCCCTCTCGAAAATATCTTATCAGAAATCCACGCCTCGGATGGTCCATGAAAAAATATTGTTTAAAAACGCCTACGCATATCCTGGTTCTTGAGAAAATATTCTTTAAAAAAATGTCCTTAAAAAATCCATGTTTATAGCTGTCGTGAAGCTTGCGAAAAAATATCGCAAGGTTATGATATCCCTAAAAAATAATGATAGAAGATGGAAAGTAAGGAAGAAAGAATAAAAGTTACGGTGCAGAGCCTAAATAACTCAGTACCGGCGGGTGTCGTTGATCTGCCCACGAGTCACGCCCCGTCGTCATCCAGCGATCGTGAGCAAAAATCTCCTACAGGTGTGGGTGCCTTGGCATCTGTATTCGAGGGTATTGCTACAAGCACTCAGCCAGCAGGCACAAATAAGGTAGACTTCAGTCACCACCGGGGAGGCGAAAGCCTGACCCAACCTTCAGAGGCAGGTGGGGACTCGAATTCTAACTCTGGGTCTGACCAAGAAGGTAAGACCGACATAACCGTCCTAGAATGCCGGAAGAGAGAAGAGGCCGATAGAATGGTGGAAGAAGTGAGCAAGGACATAGGAAAGCTCACAACAAAAAGAAAGCAGTTATCTGGGGCACAAAGGCGAAAACTGGCCAGGATGAACCGGAGAAACAAAATCAAGCAGGAACGGGATGCCCTGAAGGATAAGCCTGACCTTCCCTCCACTTCCTCGGAAGCGGCGAAGAGGATTAGGTCTCCGGAGGAGCAGATCAATGCCAAACCTGCAAAGAAGAAAAAGAGCTTCACGTCGACCGATAG